TCTGCCATCTCTCTCTCTGCCTTCTGAGACAGTAAACCTTAAGAACAACTTTGCCCGACTCGCTTTCTTTCTTTTTCTTCTCCTCCTTCTTCATTCTTTTGCATCTTCTGCAAATCTGAAATCGGGAACCGTCTCTTCTTTTCAAAGTTCAACGTGGCACCGGTTCCACTCCCAGGGAAGCTTGCAAACAAATGTGAAGAATGTGAAGCAAGAGGGCAAAGGTAGGGCTGGTGCAGAGCCAGTGCAACCTCAGGTGAAACGGGGGCGACCCATCCTGCCAAGGAGAGAGGAGGCACCCCTTGCGCCCTCCCTGCGAGGCTTGCTGTCCTGAGCTGACTTTGGGGATCCGGGAGCAAAGCGATCGGGTTTGCCACAGATCGATGCCTGCTGGCAAGGAGCACCGAGGTTTGCACCGCAAAGGTTTGCAGACAAAGCGGAGCCGCTACATGCAACCTTCTCAGGAGTTGTTGTTCTTGCATCTACAGTGTAGAGTTGATGCAGCCTGACACTACTTTCACTGGCATGGTCCCAGGACTCCTTAGATGCATTGCCACTGTAGAGCAGGACTGGGCAGCCCCTTGGGCTCTTTTCTCAGGCCCTCCTCTCTCTCAACATCTTATCCTTCTCTCTTTCCTTGCCTCCCTATTTCTCCTTCACTTCCACCCTTTCGTCCTTCCTCCTTCCTTTTCTCCTTCCTTCTCCTTCTCTCCCTCCTCTCCCTTTTTCTCTTCCCTCCTTTCTTCCTTCCACCCTTTATCCTTCTTCCCTCCCTTTTGTCTTCCCTTCCTTCTCTCTTCCCTCTCTCCCTCCCTTTCTCCTTCCATCCTTCCCTTCCACCCTTTCTCCTTCCTTTCCTTCTCTTTTCTTCCTTCCTCCCTCTTCCTCCCTCTTCCTCCTCTCCCTTTCTCCTTCCTTCCCTCTCATTCCTTTCCTCCCTTCCACACTTTCATCCTTCCTTCTCCCTTCCTCTTCCTTCCCTTCTCTTTTCTCCTTCCTTCCTTCCTTCCTTCCTTCCTTCCTTCCTTCCTTCTTCCTTCCTTTCCTTCCTTTCTCCTTCCTTCTTCTCTCTTTCCTTCCTCCTTCTCTCCCTTCCTTTCCTTCCCTTTTTCTCCTTCCCTCCTTCCTTCCCTTCCACCCTTTCGTCCTTCCTTCCTTCCCTTTTGACTTCCCTTCCTTCTCTCTTCCCTTCCTCCTTCCCTCCCTGTCTCCTTCCATCCTTCCTTCCATCTTTCTCCTTCCCTTTCTTTTTTCTTCCTCCCTCTTTCCTCCCTCCTCCCTTCTTTCTCTTTTCTTCTCTTTCCTTCCTTCCTTTTGTCTTTCCTTCCTTCTTCCTTTCCCCCCCTCCCTCCTTCCCTCCCTCCTTCCTTTTTCCTTCCTTCCTTCCTTCCCTTTTCCTCCCTCTTCTCTCTCTCCCACTTTCTCTTCCTCTTTTCCCTTTCCTTCTCTTCCTCCTTCCACCCTTTTCATTCTTCCTTCCTTCTCTCTTTCTCTCTTCCTCTTCTTTCTCCTCCCTCCCTCCCTCCCTTCCTTCCTTCCTTCCTTCCTTCTCTTCCTTTTCTCTTCCCTTCCTCCTTCCCTTCCTTCTATCCTTCCCTTCCACCCTTGTTGTTGTTATTTGAGGAGACTCAAAGTAGTTGTGTATCTATTATTATTATTATTATTATTATTATTATTATTATTAGGTGCTGTTGTTATTTGGGGAGATTCAAAGCAGCTATGTATCTATTACTATCATTATTATTATGATTAGTTGCTGCTGTTGTTATTTGGGGAGACTCAAAGCAGTTGTGTATCTATTATTATTGTTATTGTTATTAGAAGTTGGTGCTGTTGCTATTTGAGAAGACTTAAAGCAGCTGTGAATCTATTATTATTATTCGTTGCTGTTGTTATTTGGGGAGACTCAAAGCAGCTGTGTATGTATGTATGTATGTATGTATGTATTATTATTATTATTATTATTATTATTATTATAAGTTGTTATTTGAGGAGACTCAAAGCAGTTGTGTATCTATTATTATTATTATTATTATTATTATTATTATTATTATTATTATTAGAAATTGCTGTTGTTATTTGGGGAGACTCAAAACAGCTATGTATCTATTATTAGTATTAGAAGTTGCTGCTGCTGTTATGTTGTTATTTGAGGAGATTCAAAGCAGCTATGTCTCTATTGGGTTGTTGTAGGTTTTCCGGGCTATATGGCCATGTTCTAGAGGCATTTTCTCCTGACGTTTCGCCTGCATCTATGGCAAGCATCCTCAGAGGTAGTGAGGTCTGTTGGAAGTAGGAAAATGGGTTTATATATCTGTGGAAAGACCAGGGTGGGACAAAGGACTATTGTCTGCTGGAGCTAGGTGTGAATGTTTCGACTGACCACCTTGATTAGCATTTAATGTCTCTATTATTATTATTGTTGTTGTATTTACTTTTTTTAGGATTCCATAGCATGGTGCCAGGGCTGTTGAAAGGGCATCAAAGAGTGTAGCTGCACCCCAGGGCCCGGCGGATGGCATGCTACCTAGAGTCCCATAGAGTCAAGAAGGCGATGGGTTTGCAAAGAGACACAGTTTGCAAAGAAGAGCGATTCCTCCGCAATGGGATGCCCGCTTAGGCCCGGAATGGGAAAGCGGCCATCTCTGCATTTCTTTTCCTTCCCTCCCCCTCCTTGCGCTTCCTACACAGCTGAGGTCGCAAGGCAACATATGGCGCACAACGGCAACAACAACGCAAGGATGGAACATAAAACCAGGGACGGGTTTTGCTCCAGGCCTTGAGCCGGAATCCGCCCTGAGAAGGCTTCTCGCCCTCCAAAATTCGGGATCCAGAGTCAGGATCTTCCGGGTTTTCCCCCATTGGCACGAATGGTTCCCAAACTCAATTTGCAAGGGATGCTTTTCTTGTTGTTGTTGCTCGGTTGGAATCGGCAAGCGTGCCTGGACCCCTCCGTTTCAGCGGAGACCATCTGTGCTCCGCGGAGACTTGGGCTTTTTTGGTTTCTGTCCAATTTCTGACGGATGTGATTCGATTTGCAGGGAGAAGGCGAGGAAGCGGACGCCTCGTCCGTCCCGTCGTGCATATGAAAAACACACTGCTCTGAATATAGGATCCTATTGTTATTATTGTTGCTTTGTCACCTTAAGGACAGATTTCTCCATGGAGAAGGGAGAAAGTAGGCCTTGCTCTCAATGTAGGAGAAAGTCGGCCTTGCTTTCAGAGCTGGAGAAGGGAGAAAGGAGGACATTCTCAGAGCAGAAGAAGGGAAACATAGATCTTGTTCTCAGAACTGGAAAAGAGAGAAAGTAGACCTTATTCTCAGAGCTGGAGAAGGGAGAAAGCAGGCCTTATTTGCAGAGTCGGAGAAAGTAGACCTTGCTCTTAGAACTGGAGAAGGGAGAAAGTTGGACGTATTCTCAGAGCAGAAGAAGGGAGAGAGTTTCAGGACGGGAGAAGGGAGACCTTGAACTCAGAGATGGAGAAAAGAAAAAGTTGACCTTGCTCTCTCAGATTTGGAAAACCTAGGCCTTGCTCTCACAGCTGGAGAAGGGAGAAAGTAGGACGTATTCTCAGAGTAGAAGAAGAGAGAGAGTTTCAGAATGGGAGACCTTGAACTCAGAGCTGGAGAAAGGAAAAAGTTGACCTTGCTCTCTCAGATTTGGAAAACATAGGCCTTACTCTCAGAGCTGGAGAAGGGAGAAAAGAGGAGATTCTCAGAGCAGAAGAAGGGAGAAAGTAGATATTTGTTCTCAGAGCTGGAAAACAGAGAAAGCAGGCCTTATTCTTAGACCTGGAGAAGGGAGAAAGCAGCCCTTATTTGCAGAGTTGGAGAAAGTAGACCTTGCTCTCAGAATTGGAGAAGGGAGAAAGTAGGACGTATTCTCAGAGCGGAAGAAGGGAGAGAGTAGGCCTTGCTTTCAGAACGGGAGAAGGGAGACCTTGAACTCAGAGATGGAGAAAAGTTGACCTTGCTCTCTCAAATTTGGAAAATGTAGGCCTTGCTCTCAGAGCTGGAGAAGGGAGAAAGGAGGACATTCTCAGAGCAGAAGAAGAGAGAAAGTAGATCTTTGTTTTCAGACCTGGAAAAGAGAGAAAGTAGACCTTATTCTCAAACCTGGAGAAGGGAGAAAGCAGCCTTTATTTGCAGAGTTGGAGAAAGTAGACCTTGCTTTCAGAACTGGAGAAGGGAGAAAGCCGGACTTATTCTCAGAGCAAAAGAAGGGAGAAAGTAGACCTTGAACGCAGAGATGGAGAAAGGAAAAAGTTGACCTTGCTCCCTCAGATTTGGAAAACGTAGGCCTTGCTCTCAGAGCTGGAGAAGGGAGAAAGCAGGACTTATTTTCAGAGCAAAAGAAGGGAGAAAGGAGATCTTGTACTCAGAGCTGGAGAAGGAAAAAGTAAGCCTTGTTCTCCAAGCTGGAGAAGGGAGAATGTAAATCTTGCTCTCAGAGTTAGAGAAAAGTAGGCTTTGTTCTCAAAGATGGAGAAGGGAGAAAGTAGGCCTTTCAAAGCTTGAGAAAGTAAGCCTTGCTGTCAGAGCTGGAGCAGGGGGAAAGTAGATCTAGTTCTTAATGCTGGAGAAGGGAGAAAGCAGGACTTATTCTCAGAGTTGGATAAAAGTAGACTTTGTTCTCATAGATGGAGAAGGGAGAAAGTAGGCCTTGTTGCCAAAGAGGGAGAAGGAAGAAAGCAAGTCTTGTTGTTAGAGCTGGGGAAGGGAGAAAGTAGGCCTTTCAGAGCTTGAGAAAGTAGGCCTTGCTGTCAGAGCTGGAGCAGGGGGAAAGTAGAGCTTGTTCTTAAAGCTGGAGAAGGGAGAAAGTAGGTCATTCTCAAGCTGGAGAAAGGAGAAAGTGGGTGTGAATAGATTGCAATGGCACCTGGGTCTATATGCTAGTGTATAAAAATAGAGATCTAGGTACAAATAGACTACCAAAAGGGTAACGGAAAGGGTTTGGAGGCCAATGGGAATGTGGCTGGTGGGCAGGCGGAGGCGGGCTTACCTGGCGGTGACTTCGATGTTGGAGACGGCATAGAAGTACTTGTAGAGGTTGTCCCTCTGGACGTAGGTGCCACCCAGGGCGGGCCGCAGGAGCCTCAGCCGCAGGTCCGTCAGGGTGAAGAAGTCCTTGAGACCCTTGGCGCTCTCCAGCCGGGCGTAGAGGTTGTCCATATTGCGCAGCTCCGGCCCGGCAAAGATGGCGAAGCGGTCGCGCACCTCGAAGCGGACGTCCTTCTCCTTCTTGGAGCCGGCCCAGCGGGAGTAGTCCTCGGTGCAGAGCACCCGGTTGGCAGAGGAGGCCGAGAGGTCCCGGACCCGGCGGGCCTGCATGCCGAAAGCCTCGTTGCAGTCGTCGGCGTAGTACTGGTATGGGTGCCACGTCCGGCCGTTGTCCAGCGACTTCTCCAGCAGCATCATGGTGGGCCGGCCGTACTCAAAGGTCACCACGATGTCGTCGGTCAGCTCCACGCTCTTGTTCCAGGAAAGCGTGATGTTGGCCAGAAGGGGCTCCGGGTAGCGGCTCCAGGTCACGCTCTGCCAGTACGTTGCCAGGCCCTCGTCCTCTTTGTCGAACATCAGCTTTGGCGGGTGTGCCAGGTCCGGGTTGGAGGCGTCGCACTCGTCGCTGCACAGGTACGGGTTCTCCTGCAGGAAAGAAGAGCGAGAGCATCAAGCGAGGGGCAAACGAATGGCAGCAAAATAAGCATTTCACGTGGGGGTAGAGCTGGCTTTGGGGATGAGATCTATGTCATCATCTGGAACAGATCCATTTCAATGAGTGGGATTGATTAGTCATAGAAGCCTAACGATTTCGAGGATTTCCTCCCCCTCCTCCTTCTGTTTTGAGCATCTAATAGTGAATAACACTCAATTTTTGTTCCCGGGTTATACATGTCATTCCCATTTCCATTGGTCTATGAGGAAACAATGGTGTAGATATGCTGATGAGTTTCTGATTGACTCAAGTATCCAGTTCCGTGCGGGACAAAAGTATAGGTTTTTTGCACTTTTTTTGTTATGAATATGTAAATTTAGAAATAACACTATGTAACAACATTTGAAAAAAAAAGTGTTACATACTATAATACTAATAAAAACTTCCAAATTGCTAGGCAGTATAATATAATACTAATAAAATATAATAACATAACACTATTATAATATAATAACATAATGTAATAAGAATATAGTACAAAATAATAATAATATTTATAATATAGTTATATAATGGACTATAATACTAAATGAGAATATTATAGTCCTATAATACTAAATAATCCGCTTTGAGTCCCCCCAGGGGTGAGAAAAGCGGTATATAAGTACTGTAAATAAATAAATAATGGTATTTATAACAATATTATTATAATATAAAGGACTAGAATATTAAAAATACTAATAATATAATACGAATAAATTATAATATAATATATGAATAATATAATACGAATAAATTATAATATAATATATGAATAAGAATAATACAATAATATTTATAATGATATAATCATTATCTCCTGTGAACTAATTCCCGTGTATGTATATTTTATTACAGCTGTCCTGGATGATCTACGGATGGAACAAATCAAGAACTTTGGTCCAAAAGCAAGGCGCTGGCTGCTGGAGCTGATGAACAACTGCACTGCATCCTGTCAGATCCCCAAAATCTGGAGGAAAGCAAGAGTCATCGCCATCTTGAAGCCAGGCAAAGACCGTAATGACCAAAAAGCTACAGACCCATCTTCCCGTTATGCTACCTCTACAAAGTTCTGGAGAGACTTAGTTTGCATTACACTGTCTAACATGATGATTTGTGTTTCTAATTGGTTCTATCATAAAAACAGGGGAAAGTTTATGAAACTTCCCAAACTTTGTTTCTGCAGGAGGATCATCCTGCTATAGTACATTTTGCAATAATAATAATAATAATAATAATAATAATAATAATAATAATAATAATTTATTTGACCAGTCATATGGCCATTTCAAAATACAGCATGAGTAAAAGACAAGGCAAAGAGGAGAAGGACAGCTGCTGACCTTATATTTACATTTTGCAACAGTTTCTTCCCTGGTCATTGAGTCTCAACCAAATTCAACATAGCAGAATGGAAATGCTTTAAAAGCGTTGTGTGATAACCTCTGCGGTTTTTGTCAGAGATTGACGATACCCAGCGGAAGGAATGCTAGATCAAGCAGACACTGAGTTGCAAAATAAGGACTCTGCAGGCTTTGAGTTACAAAAGAAACTAAGTTTACTAAGTACATACATCAGGCACGTCTTTCTACAGCGCGCTACAATTCAGGAATTAAAAAAGAACTAGTCAAAACCGAAAGCTTCTGCACATCTGCTTATCTTCTCTTGCTGAGACTGGCAACTCCCTTCTGTTCTCAGCAAGAACAAACCTTCTCTTACTTTTTCAAGTTCACTTAATCACGGCCTCAAAGTATAAACATTTCTGCATGGCATTTACAATTCACAGTTGTATCCATATTTGTAATACATAGAAGCACATTTAAAACACATACATAACTAAATTAATCCTGACAATGCCCCCTCTTTTTAAATGTGATTCTATAACTCTAATACATACATGTAATCTGCACAACTCTAACATCTTAACTTTTAAGTACAACATTCATTTGTTCTCTCAATTTCTCATGTTTGGTAGTTGGTAATGATTTTGTTAATATATCTGCTACATTAGACTCAGTGGGACAGTATTGCAATTTCACTACATTCTGATCAACCATTTGTTTGTCATGGTTGGTCCTGAAAAGCCATTACTGCTCAAGCAAGGAGCTTTGAGATGGTAGAACAGAAGCTTTCTGAAGCTCTAGGTGCTCTTACTGCCTATTACAGGGAAAACCAGCTGATCCCCAACCCATCTAAAACACAGACATGTGCCTTTCATCTCAAGAACAGAGAAGCATCCCGAGCTCTGAAGATCACCTGGGAAGGAATCCCACTGGAGCATTGCAGCGCACCCAAATACCTGGGAGTCACTCTGGACCGTGCTCTTACCTACAAGAAGCACTGCCTGAACATCAAGCAAAAAGTGGGTGCTAGAAACAATATCATACAAAAGCTGACTGGCACAACCTGGGGATCACAACCAGATACAGTGAAGACATCTGCCCTTGCGCTGTGCTACTCTGCTGCTGAGTATGCATGCCCAGTGTGGAACACATCTCACCACACTAAAACAGTGGATGTGGCTCTTAATGAGACATGCCGCATTATCACGGGGTGTCTGCGCCCTACACCACTGGAGAAATTACACTGCTTAGCACCACCTGACATCCTCCGGGAAGTAGCAGCCAATAGTGAAAGGACCAAGGCAGACATCTCCAGCTCATCCCCTGTTTGAGTATCAGCCAGCACGTCAACGACTTAAATCTAGACATAGTTTTCTAAGATCTACAGAGACACTCGCTGGAACACCTCAGCAAGCGAGAGTCCAAAAGTGGCAGGCTCAAACCCAGCACCTCAACCAATGGCTGATACCAAATGAGAGACTCCCTCCTGGGCACACAGAGGACTGGACGACTTGGAAGGCGCTGAACAGACTGCACTCTGGCACCACGAGATGCAGAGCCAATCTCAAGAAATGGGGCCACAAAGTGGAATCCACGACATGCGAGTGTGGAGAGGAGCAAACCACTGACCACTTGTTGCAATGCAACCTGAGCCCTGCCACATGCACAAGGGAGGACTTTCTTGCAGCAACACCAGAGGCACTCCAGGTGGCCAGATACGGGTCAAAGGACATTTAATAATCAACTACCAAACTTACAAATTTTGTATTTTGTCTGTTTGTTTGCTTTGTTCTGTTAGAAATGTAATATAATTGACTGGTTGCCCTGACACGACAAATAAATAAACTTCTGAGGATGCTTGCCATAGATGCAGGCGAAACGTCAGGAGAAATGCCTCTAGAACATGGCTCTATAGCCCAAAAAAACCCACAAGAACCTAATAAATAAACTATTTGTTTAACCATATGATACTTGATCCCTATGTATTTAGTTCTATTTTTCAAATTCTCAGTTTCAGTCATGGCGATACACGCTTGGGAATCTTCTTTAAATTCCATCTGCATGGAATAAAGGCTTTGGAAAGCAATTTGTGTTGCACGAGCAAAAGCTTATTTCCCTGTAAACACAAGGAGGGGTGTTAGGGCATGGATGGGCGCCCACCTGACCTTTCCCTATAGATCTCACCTGTGCCCAGGTGAGAGGTCTCCCCTCGACCCACCTGCCTTAGCACTTTGGGAGCTTCCCTCGAGGCCATTGCTTTGCCCTTGAGAACCGCCTTATGTCTCAGCTTTAAGACCCTGCGGTCAGCCTCTGGTCGGCTTAGAGATTACCCGATTAGTTGGCAACGTGGTTGCTTCGCTGAGGACAACAGCAAAGGGCTTGGGAGGGGGGGAGCACCTCGATGGAGACCCTCCTCTCCTTGTTCCACCCCACTTTCCAAACTACATAACACAGGCAAGTTACGAGTACCAAATTCAGCGTGCAGATTCGATATGCCGAAATTTGAATACTGGTGACTTTGAGGTGGAATTGGCTTGGACATTTGTTAGTAGTAGGTAATGGGATTTATAGTTCACCTGCATTCAAAGAGCACTCTGCACCCCACCAATGATGGACCTGGACCTTGCTTGGCAACAGAGGCAGCCCTAGATAATTTTCAACGGTAAGCAAACAGTATTTTGGCGCCCTCCCCCAACCAATCATTGATATGGAGCAGGAACGAGAGGGGCTAGGTGAGGCTTAGGGGCCCGGCCCCTTCGGGAAGAGGATCGCCCAGCAGTGAGGCAAGGAAGCTGAGGCTCCCCCCGGACTGCTAGGGCTGTTGTGAGTCGAGGGGGTGCTCCTCAAGTGGCGGTCGAGGGGCATTTACATAGGCGCCTCTGCGCCCCTGGCAAAAAAAAGTGTACTGCGAGCGCTTACTTTGCATAATGGACGAGCCGCCCCTGCTTGGCACACAGAACCCCCATGACCAACTGAACATACTGGAGGGATTTGACGGGACTGACCCATCATTGTGGGAGTTGTAGTTTACCCTACAGCCAGCGAGCACACTAACCCGCACCAATGATGCATCTAGAGAACAAACTTGCCCTATATGACAAACTTTAAGCATTGATGGAGTTTCAGGGAGTTAACCTGGCATGAAGAGAGTTGTAGTTCACCCACAACTTTATGCATTTTGTAAAATACAAAAATGACTTCTTCTAATAAGCTGGGTACTGAAGCTAGTAATATAAGATTCCTTTGACTTCCTATTTATGGCGGAATGAAAGTCATGCGTAGTTGACGTCTTTACCAGTCCATACACTGTCTTGCTAGAGAAAGAAAATATGCCACGCAGATGATCAGTAAAGAACAAGGTGTTTACTCTTTGTTATGCAGAGCAACATATATGCATTGACTCAAACAATGTCCTTGAGAGAGATGCAAATGGTCCTTGGAAGTCCACATGAAGGATCTCCTTACAGCAGCTCAGAAGCAAAAATACAAACTGACTTGGTAGAAAACCTGCACAGAAAACCTAGACATGTAACAGTTCCCAAAACTCCCAGGCTCAGCTAGCCTCACTAATAATCTTTGTGCTGTGCATTTTTCAGATAACAACTCAC